CTCTCGATTGCTATTCACTTCTCTCACTCTCTATCTCTTTTGGCAAAACTAATTCTTACGGCAAATGTGTGGCACAAACCTTGTGAGCGCACACAACAGGCATTTCCTCCCCATTGCGCTCCTGTGCCGTGTATTTCAATGCATTTCAATGCATAGCTCTTTACCACTGCCTCCTCTCCAGTATTACTCAACCCAATCGCATACCACATGACATGACATGACATCTCTTGATTATGGTTTCATGCGATAGTCCAAGAAGTTTCCCATTATATCCCAAACCATCAAACAGTTTATTGATTTCCTTTCCGTTAATATATTGTTTGCTAAAAGTATTTGTGTGTAGAAATATATGACATATTTATTGCATTAACGATACAATGCATCACAACTTCCACTATAATAATCACTTCTCACTATATTTCTCGCTATAACTAAGGCTTTAAAACACATTAATTGCAACAGAAATTTCAATTTTAAATGGATTAGCGACTCGTCTGACAACTAATCCCTTAATCCCTTAGTTAATAGCAAAAGCTCTCATAATCTAATGATTAGCAGATATTTATTAAAATTATATCAAATGTAAGCCAAATATGAAATTTTACTCTTAAATCATATTTAATGCCAAAAACTTTTGCCAAAATTTGGTAATAAATGACATAATTTATGGCAAAATAAACTTTTCGATCAAAACATGTGACAAATGTTTGAATGAATTTTCAAAATGTTTTCGTTATTTGAAACCAATATTTACTAAATTGTTGTCTCAATTATCACACGATTATCACCGAAAACAATGGCCACAAACGGATCCACTGCACCGCAAGTGATGGCCGAACCAAAGTATGTATCAATAGTAGGCTAGTGTCGGGCCATTGGATCAGTTAGTAATGATGTGCCGCTTGTCTTACAGATCAATGAAGACATTGTTTACACTACTGTCGGGTTCGGTGGCCCTCAAGAGCGAAGAGTTCATCGCCGAAGAGTTGAACAATTGTCGCCACCAATTGGCAAATGGTTTGCTGTATTATCTCCGCCACAATCCGGCGGTGGACTCGCTGTCGGAGCTGAAGAAGCGCGACTCGTCGGCGTTCGGCGCCTTCACTCCCGAGTTGATGTCCAAAGCGAGTCTTCTTCTGGATCTGAGTCACAAAGAGTGTAACGAATTGTTTAATTCGTATCTTTGCTACGAATTCAAAGGCACTCCGGAATCGATGAAACAGTTGTTCTCCAATGAGAAGCAAAGTCGACGACTTCTATACGATTTGAATGATTACTATCGCAGCGAACGGCTCTTCACTTTGTTTTGTTTGAAACAAATACTCAGTCATTGGAGCACTTCTTCAGAGCACATGTATCAACACATATTTCGCTCATTCCTCGAGACCATCAATGATAGCAATCAGTTATATCCGAAACTTGTGGAGCAATTGGTGCACTTGAATGAGTGTCCGGTGCCCTCACGGCTCTCAAACGGTCCGTATTTTACTGAATCGCTGGCTAAAGAACACCTGCACCACAATCTTCGGGAACAAACGGAGATCTTAGAGCTCTTACTCCTGTATATCAAGGGTTTTGAGACATCGATGGACAACATTATTGAATTGCTATCACTGTTCGCGTCGAATGGTTTTGGCGTAAAGTTTGCTCACTTTAACAGAACTGATTGCGATTATATCGGCGAAGAAGTGTTCAAATTCATCGGTTTCCTGCAGTCACTGGTGATCGTCGAGTGTCTGGACCTGAAGTGGTTATACGAGTGTCAGGAGAAGGACATCGAGTGTCAACTCATGAAAGCCGATAACGTTAAGCAACTGAAGAAATTGGATTCTCTTGTCGTGAATCTAAACTCAGTGACTGTCGAACACTCGCCGATCTTCATGTCGTGGATGATTGTCCGGAGCTGGGAATCAGCCGATCCTCAGCTCACGGCTACTATCGATGCGGTGCCTCTATTGGGCGCCACCGCAGTACAGCTCAATGTCTTCGGTTATCTCGAAAAGTGTCTAAACTTACCGCAAGTGATAGCGTTGAACGGAACCGTTGTCTCCGATTTAATTCATCGAGCGATTAGTGATTTACTTTCGGTCACATTCAACGTGTTTAACATCGAAATGCTTAGACATTCTGTTCCGGCGCTCAACCAGTTGTGCATTAAATTATTCCGAAACAGTTATATCGCCAGCGATTTGTTCAAACATGGATTGGACTCCGGACTCGGGTTGATAGTGAGCTCAGCTCTTCAAAACTTTCCCCTTCGAGCGAATCCTGTATTGAGTTTTTGTCAGTCTTTGTCGGAAACCAATTATTGCAAACAAATTTTTGAAAAGTTAACCATTTTATCAAATCTGACCACTTTTACGGAGCCGTTTGATAGCTCTCTGTCCACATGTGTGCCCACAGAAGAAGATTCAATATATTGTTTATTAAGAGATAAATTGTTGTTCAGAAATACGGAACTCGTCATCAGAAAAGAGACAAAAGGTTTGCTAAAAATTGTGAACAATAGCCGCGCGATTGAATGGATGGACACTAATATTGATGGATGGAAATTGATTTACCATCGATTCAGAGAACAGTACGATCTCGTGAGTAGAGGACAACTTCACTCTGTGTCTGAGATAGCGATCAACGAAATGAGTCAAATCACAACCATTTGCTCTAATCTTATAAAAAACAATTGTTCGCAACATATCTCAGCCTTCAATAGACTCATCACTTTGTGTTTAGAAACCTATGACCTGTTCTCGAGTGTTGAGAATCCGCCGCGACTTCTGATGGCATCCATACTAGAGTTGACGGCAGCCATGATTGCAGTCGATTACAGTCATGACACGGCTTCGCTTTGGCAGCGAATCAATGGCAAGTCATTCATGCCTTATATGATTGGATTGACATCTGATCTGAAAGAAGTTATCGCTGGTAACGATACAAACACATCACTTTTGGGTCAATTGATCGCATCGGAAGAATGCATTAAAGGCCGATACGAGCTGTGCATCGCATTCCTCAAACTCATTGCACAAGTGGTGAAGAAATCAGATTTGAAAGACGATAACAATTTGACCGCTTCTCTAGTGTTTATTATCAAAGAGATATTTCCGTCCCATTATTTCTGGAGTTTTAACAATCAAAACGAGTTCTTCAAAATCGGAAGACTCTGTTTCGATATCTTTCATACGGTTTTGTCGAAAAGCGATTATAACTCTAACCGATGCCGTATTGGAGAGTTGTGTACCAGTGCTCTGATGGATGGAAACGCTTCACAAACTCTCTTAAATGTGATCAAAAGCGGAGAGACGAGTGTCCGGAATGTGATAATGAGTGCCGGAAATGATAACTCTCTATCAGATGACGACCAGATTGTGATCGTTCGGCAGTCGCTTTCCATTTTGAATTATCTGTTGATTTTGACCACAACTCCCAATAACACGTCCGACAAGTCGTGCAGTCACATCGAAACGGCTGTATTCTCGACACAAAGTAAGCCAAATATGTTACTCATTCTCTCGCATTACGTCCTCCAACGATACGACACCCAATTGGCCACTTTGGCCGTACAGTTGTTGCGCCAATTGGCCAAACGCTTCCCGATGTCAATGCTGGCCTGTCTGGGCTCAGACGCAGAGTCAATGCGCGAACACTTTCTCTTCCGTTTGGATCAAGTGACCGAAGATCTCCACTTTAAGGTGGCGTTATTGAACTTCTTGTCGTCGTGTGTCGAACGACAGCCGGGATTAATGGAAATGTTCTTAAATGTGGACAACAATCCGCTGAACGACAAGAGCGACAACAATACCACCGGTTGTCTGCAAACGGTGTTAGAAATACTGAGTGAGAAACGTGAGGCCAAATACACGTATCCGTTTGAACTGCATTTGGCAGCGCTTAAGTTCCTCTACACCTTTTGGGTCGGCCCACTGGAGGACCGGTAACTGAGTAACTTTTTCTGGTCATTACAGACCAGTGAGTAGTGTAAGGGCAACAAGCTCCGGAGCCTGAAACTAAGGCTAAAACTGTAAGAAACGCAAATATAGAATTCTTAAAAGGCGCGAGAAGTGTTTTACGTGAAGACACTCGAGAGGTTTGTATACTTTGTAAAGAATTGGTTACGATTTGAAATCTAATTATTATTTACTTATTTCAGAGATAAATTTGATTGTGATTTGGAGACTAAGTTTAAGACATTGAGAGACACGAACCGTTTAAAGCAATTCTCGGCACACATTCAACATCTCTTTGAATCCGTGGATCTAATTCCAGAAAACTCGCGACTCTTATTGAATGCTTGGAAAGACTTTCTCATATCAATAGCAAAGGTTTGTTTTCTTATATACTTAACTAATGTTAATATTTATTCTAATTGTTGTATAAATTGAATGAACAGTTCGATCCGTTCGGTCTGACCAAAGAGCTAAAGATGAATATAAGCGAAGACATAATCGATAGCCTTTTAGTCCAATTGCGTAAACCACACGTCGATAACAATATAATTGCTATCTTTGCCGATATTTTGTTGACTATATTTGACAAATGGAAGGAAACGTGTATTGAATCACCAAATGAATGGCACTCACGAGTGGAACAGTTGCTCAAATGTATCGAAGAAGTGAAAGAGTCGGATAGCAAGTTACACAACTTAAGTTAGCTCTGAAATCAATAGTTTATGAACGTTAAGAAGTGTTTGCTGAACTTGAGAAGGCTTACCTAGCAGATAAGCCGGTTTGATAACTTGGTTTCAGAAGGTGTAATAGAAAAACAGATCAAATCCCGTGACATATCATTAGAATCAGAATTTAAACTATCGGTGACTTCGATTGCATTACTGCAGACACTAGTGAATCAAAACAGCACTCGTGTCTCCATTTGGATCCAAGTATTGCGAACTCACTTCTTGATGGAATCGTTGGCCAATCTATTGAATTACTTGATTGAGAACAAACTCGGCGTTGAATTATCTGTTCATATAATGTCACTGTTTGTCGAGTTGTCGTCAATACAGTTATCGGCCGAAGCGCTATATTTAACCGGTTTTGTCGACAATTTGTGTATTTCACTCCAAAACACATACATTACAACACCTGATAATGTCATCACTAAAGACAAATGCACTCCAACTGTAAAGTGGATTAACGTCTTCTATCTATCGCTACGAATGATCACTAATTTAGTCAATCAATTAAAACACCATTTCGTGGACATTGGCATCACATTCGTTGCCATACATTTGGATCATATCATTGATATATTGACAAAAGTTCGCACTAATCCCAAGACCGAAGAGATTTACGAGTCGATCCAAATGATTACTTTATGTCATTCGATATCACGCTATCATGAGGTGTGGCGAACACACCATCACTCTTCGTTCCAAGAGATTGAGCAGCAGATCCTGAAGACTAGCCATTCGGTGATCGCTTTCCTAATTAGACCCAACTTTTTGTCGTATATAATGGAAAACCCCAACACTTCCGCAGCGATTGTCGTGTCATCGGAAGCGACTCCGAAGCGAGTGTCGCCGCCGACGACGACAAGCACTCCATTCGATGGCAAAGCGCTGCGAAAATCTGTTTCGTGGGAACAGGAGTTCACCACACATTCAATTGACGCCAAACTTCTCGACTCTCTCTTCACATTTCAAGCGTTTTCTGTTCATATAATGTCACTGTTTGTCGAGTTGTCGTCAATACAGTTATCGGCCGAAGCGCTATATTTAACCGGTTTTGTCGACAATTTGTGTATTTCACTCCAAAACACATACATTACAACACCTGATACTGTCATCACTAAAGACAAATGCACTCCAACTGTAAAGTGGATTAACGTCTTCTATCTATCGCTACGAATGACCACAAATTTAGTCAATCAATTAAAACATCATTTCGTGGACATTGGCATCACATTCGTTGCCATACATTTGGATCATATCATTGATATCTTGACAAAAGTTCGCACTAATCCCAAGACCGAAGAGATTTACGAGTCGATCCAAATGATTACTTTATGTCATTCGATATCACGCTATCATGAGGTGTGGCGAACACATCATCCCTCTTCGTTCAAAGCGATTGAGCAGCAGATCCTGAAGACCAGCCATTCGGTGATCGCTTTCCTAATTAGACCCAACTTTTTGTCGTATATAATGGAAAACCCGAACACTTCCGCAGCGATTGTCGTGTCATCGAAAGCGACTCCGAAGCGAGTGTCGTCGCCGACGACGACGACAAGCACTCCATTCGATGGCAAAGCGCTGCGAAAATCTGTTTCGTGGGAACAGGAGTTCACCACACATTCAATTGACGCCAAACTTCTCGACTCTCTCTTCACATTTCAAGCGTTTTCTATCGCTTTTCTGCAAAACATTTCGCCAAACGTTTTGGTATTAATGGAAAGACAGGGTTTCGATCCAAACGATTGGAAACTACTCATTAGAGCCAGTTTCTCGTCGCCAAACATCGATCCCAACTCAACGCTCAGTTTTGGTTCACTAATCAATTGCATTCATATGTGTATAAAGACATTAAATCGAGTAATGAATGAACTTTTAATTATGATTTTGTATAACAATACTAATGAATGGATATCTGAATTATTTGGTAGAGAGAAAAGGAGAAACAGACACTGGATTTTGTGGCATTCATTTTCGAGACCAGTCTCTCATTTATGGTGTCTCAGGCAATGGTCGCGCAGTTGTCGTCAACCATTCCCGATGTCGACAAACAGATTATTGTCCGCGAAATCAAATCAGAACTCGTGAGTTGCGAACAATTGTGCATTTATTTGGTTATTCCTAATTGTTTTGTCATTTCTCAGAGCACTATACTGTCCAATGTTGGCGGCGGTCGCACCCGACGTATCTCACAGTCGCTGTCAGTGCTCTCCAGCCCTAAAAGTGCGGCCACTTCTCTAATAGAGGAAAAATATGTCAAATTTTTACTACAATTCTTCGATAAAATATCGCAATAATTACATAATTAATGACAATTTACATCAATTTTATTGCCTTTTAATGTATTTTTCATATAAAACTTAAAATCCAAATATATATTCGGAATTGCGATAAAAATAATTAATGTTTAATAAATGATAAATAAATTGAATTGTTATTAAATAATGAAAATATCGATCGATAAGAGGTGTTAAAAGAGATGCCATTAATTCCTATCGTCAGTGAAGAAGAATGGATGAGTCAATGCCTTGGAAGCACTCCATCGGGTCTTAGGGTTAGGATCGAGCAGTTTGTCCAACAGATCATAGGCAGAGTCGGGCGGCTTGAATGTCGAGCCCTTCCCACGAAGACGTTCGCAGAGTTCCTTGAGATCCATCGGTTGATAATTACTCGATATAATCAAAGTTTTGTCTAAATCTTTAGCCGTCTTGAGAACCCGTTTGGAGCCGAAAATGGTTATGATTTCGGCCAATGATGTCATGTCGTCGGTGTTGCGGAAGAATGGATACCTTCCGCTCAGCAACGAAGCCATTATGACTCCAGCGCTCCAAATGTCGATTAGAGTGGTTTGCAATAAATACTTGAGCAGCACTTCTGGGGCCCGAAAGCCGGGAGTGCCGGCGCGCGGGGCTATCAATTCAGGCTTCCCTTTGCAAACACCGCACACTTGATTAGTGGCCAAACACTCGCACTTGAGATCAATACTCTTATTGGCAATAGTTTTGGATTTCTTGTGGACTTTCTTATAACGAGATTTCGGCGTTTCGTTCACTTCTTTGGGGAACAACTGGTCGTTCGTCTCGTTATTCAACGCGTGGTTCAGATTCTTCTGAATAGTTTTGGGCGGCGTTTCGGGGATTACGGAAATACCGCACTTGACTGGAGTGGAGAGGGTGTCGACGCCCGTAGTAGTGGTCGGCGACTGACGACTGGCCGGCGATTTAAATACGGTTGGAGTGATTGGCGAATGAAAGACACTCGACTCGATTCGTGCCCTTTTGGGCGCTATTTTGGTCCTCTCGACGAATTGGGCCTCATTTCGGGACCGCTTTCTTATTTGCCATTTGGTCTCGTTTTTGGCCACAGTTTTGCCCGAATTATTGGTCGCCGAAGTCGTGCAGTCATTGAGAGCCAATCTCTTGACCGCAGAATTGGTGTTGTGTTTGATATTATCGGGAATTTTAAACTTATTGTTATCTCCGGTCTCTTTGTTTGAATGCAATCTCCGAAACGCGCCGTTAGTATACGTGCGGACCAACAGTTCCCTCTCGTTCTGAGCCAAACCGAAGTCAACCAAAGCGTATCGACGGGTCTTCCGGTCGAAGAGAAAATTGGCCGGTTTTATGTCCCGATGGATCACTTGAAACGAGTGCACCCTTTCCAACGCTATCAACAGATTCTTCATATAGTGAGTCACTTCCGGGACAGACAATTGGTTCACATAATCGGTGAACTTCTGGTGCGGAAATATAGGCATCACTAGAACGGTGTGACCTCTGGAGAAGAAGCAGGTCTTCAAATGTATCACATTCTTAGCGCCGCCCAAATCCCGCAGATAACGGAGTTCGGAGGCGATCCGCGACGGCCTTATCGTCGGTATTATGTATTTCAGCGCATATTCTTTGGCCGAATTGTGCAGATGTTTGGCTCTGAAGACCTTCGAGAAGGTTCCCTCTCCCAGTTTACCGCACACTACAAAATGGCGGCTAATCTCCGGTATTGAGGCCAACATTGTCTTCACGTCGTTGTCGTTCATGTCCTCAACTGATGGACGAGAAAAAGCGGGTTTTAATGCCGTAATCAATGGCCGCACTCTTCGCGCGCTTACCTTTCTTTGGGTCTTCGATGCGAAGGGAACTGAAGTTTGTGTTACCGTTGAGAACGAAGCGGTTATTATTGGCGCCCATAGTCTTCATGGTCTGCACAGGCATTGAGCGCCGATTGGGCGCCGGCGGTGTCGCCCCTCCACCCCCTCCACAGCCCCCGCCAGCCATCGGACGGCCGTTCAAAGCGCCCGCGAAATCACATTTGACTCCCTTTCGGCTCAGAATTCGGCTCATAATCCTCTGGTTCTCCTCCAGAGAGCTCTCGCTGTCGATCAACAGGTTGTTCATCATTTGTGCGGTCAATGTCTTCGCCATCAGTGGTGAAGATGTGAGACCAGAGCGGATGGTCTGCGGACTCAATACATGCACTGTTTGTCACACTTTTGATCGCCTTTTGAGCGCCAAATCAATGCCTCAAATGTTTGGCGCAAATCATTACAAACCATGTCTTCACACAAATCACGTTTCACTCAATGCCCACGTGTTTTGCCCCCAAATCTATGGCTTTATAGTTTGCTTTGCTTTGCTTTGAACCCAATCTCTGGAGTTTTGTATTTGTTTTACTTGTTTTAGCCGTTTATGAGTTAATGTTTAATTGTTTTGTTATTTAAATGTTGTGTAAAATAAAATGATTTCAATATATTTTGTTTATTTTAAATAAATTGTTTTGCATTTATGTCAGTAAACAACGTATAGATTATGCGATAAAATAAATAACAGGTTTTTGCTATTATTTTACACATAGGGTTGCGCTTAGGGTTTAGTAAATGGGCGATAAATAGTGATGTGTTTTGTGAACAACTCTTCGCGTATTTTTCAAATGTTGTTTTGATTTTGATTTTGACTTAAGTTTTAAACAAATAGTGTTTTAATACCGAAAATGAGTGCATTTGACGACACGAACGACGACTCTATCATCGAAATACCGGTCTTCGAGCGGATCCATTTGAAGACCAGCCGACAACTGGCCGCCGATCGCTTGGACCACACGTTAACCAATGATAGCCAACACTCGCCGCCACTCACGAGTGGCCAACAGATCCCGCAAACTGACGACAAGTCCAACGAGACGTTTACTCTGGACTCAGACTCTAGTGATGGACACGTGATGTCTAACCACGACATGGCTTTCAACGATATCTCCAGTGACTCCATTCAAGTGGTGTTTGAATCGCCAACTGATCCAAACAAAGACACCGCTCGTGCCGTTGATAATCAAGACTTGGCTTTTGGCGATCTATCGTTTACGACAGTTATTGATGCAAATCAATCGATGAGATCTATTGGATCCGATTGGACACCAATTAAGCCCAGTTTTATCAATAGGACTCCTTTGTGTCAACAGAAGTCCAGAGCTGTTCCCAATCATATCAAGAGTTCCCTTAAGAAAAGCATTAATTGTTTGAATCGTAAGAAAACAAGTGAACAGAAAGTGAGCGAAAATGGAGACAAAGAGAGGCAAAAGAGTGAGAAGAGAGCGGAGAAAGAGTTGACAAAACAAAGAGATAAAGTGAACAAAGAAGTGCTTAGAAGTCAAGACATTAAACAATCGCTGAAGTATTGCATTGCGATTATTGACCGAAACTTATATGAAATGATTAAACAATTTTTGGACGATTTGTTTGGCAAACATGACTGCAGTCATCGCTTGACAGACAGTCCATCAGTGCCTATGAGTGTCACGTGGATTAGGAAGTGCTTGAGTGTTGTCGATGGACCGCAAACTAGTGGCCAATCGGAGTCATCGCAGGCCAGTGTAGCCAACACTGAAGTGCCGCAGAAGCATATTCTGGCTGTCATTGAATGCAATGATTTTATACAAAGAGTGCATTCATTTGTTACCAAAAACGGCGAAACGCTCTTTGATTTTGTCAAAGATGTGGTCCAAAAGTCAAACATTAAAAACATTACTCTTTTGGCCTTAAAATTGGAGAATTATTTTAAACGACAAAAAACTAAATCCCAAAATCAATTCAAACAACGTTTTAATGAATTGAATGCCAACGAAGCGACTCAACAAACAAACCGCAGACGTAATCGAAGAGATTCAATGCCATCGATCACACGAGAAGAAGTAGATTTAGCGCTCATTGACATGGATTTCCAACTCACGCAATGGGACTCCGAGGCCAAAGTGTCTGTACTTAAGCCCACCGATTGGGCCGATGTATCCGTTTATATCTATCGTTTCACGCGATCGGTGGCCGAGTCTGTGGCCCGAAAGCAGAGGAATCAACAGCAAAATCTCGGTTGGTTTGCGGACGCAGACAAAAGGGGTACCGTTGACCCCATCGACGGCCCGACTCACGAGAAACTATGGAAACGACAGTTAATGCAATTCCCGAAAGTCAGTTACGAAGTGGCCAACGCTATCGCATCCCAATACCCGTCCCCGCAGTCCCTTTTGAAAGCCTATTCACGTCACTCGAGTCCCGAGTTGTTGTTGTCCGATGTGATGGTCAGCCGACGTCAGGCCAACGGATCAAATACTGAACGCAAAGTGGGTCGAGAATTGTCTCTTCGTATTCATATGTTTATGACCTCAACAAATGGCAATCAATTGCTCAACAATTGTTAACAATTTTGTAAAGTTTTTACATTTTTAAATTCTGGATAATTTTACTGTAGTTTTACGTCAATGTTGTAAACATTTTTATATTTTGGTATATTAATAACATAATATTTAATAAAAATGATTAATAAAACATTATTTGAAATACTTATTTAACTACTTAAATCAGTGTTGCACAGTTTATTTACAATTCGTGACTATTAACGAAATAATCTTGCAATCATTCAAACAGCATATAATAATAACATATTTTTTACTGATTTGCTATTTAATTAATTTAAATCAATTATAATTAATTATTTATAATAATATTTGATTATAATTTGTCTAAAATATAATTTCTTAAACATTTGCAATAATTTTAATGGAAATATTGTAAAAATCACAGAATATTCTGTAAGAATCGGTAGTAAAGCATACAATGAGAGCGTATTTTATGTATTATTTTGTAAATAAATTCAAAAGTTTGCGAAACAAAAACATTTCATTTGATTTCCTTTGACATCAATTTTGATAAACACTTTAGTTTTGGACACAATTTATGATACATTTAAGACATTTATTGAATAATTACTTGATTTCAAGCGCTTTATTGGCGACAACCGTAAGACCGCTGCTAAACATTAGGTCAATGTCTGGCACAACGAGAAGCAGCAGCCGGTGGCTGCTCTGTGGCTGACTATACAGCTACCGAATGCACTGCCGTGGGTTGGTATGCCAGCGAGTTCTCTAGCGATTCATAACACAGGCGCTTCTGCACTACTGTTAACGGATTAATTGTTGTCCATTGAATGCTCAGTAAACTGGTGTCGGGAAGACTGGCCGCGTGCGTCAATATAGTGCCCGCCATTACATCCATATATCAATGGAAGGGTAAGATTGAGACCGAATCCGAAGTACTGATGATCATTAAGACCCGAACCGAACGCGAGCTACTCCACTGGCGGCTTCACTTCCGGTCGGTAGGCATGCTTCACAAACTTAACCAAAGTCACGGCCATTCTCTGTCAACACAACTGTGGTTTTGGGATTGGTAACTAACACAGCAAGCGATTACAGATCCAAAAAGGAAATCCCGATTATATGAAATGGTTGTCCGAATCGGTGCCCAAAAAATCTTAGATTTTGTCGATATATGTGTCACTATTTTTATGATATTTTAATTTTTATTTAATATAAAAAAGTTTGACATAATTTGTCATTAAATTGAAATGAATGCCAAACAATAAAATAAGTTAACCAATGAATGAATGCTTGATTCGCTAAAAATAATCTAAATCTGTTTAACACCACATCTGGTTAACCAATGGTCTCTATGGGAAACCCATTAAAAGCGATGCAAATATATTGCTAACACTACAAAATGGTTATCAAATTAGATGTTACATTAAATTGTTGTTATAAAGTTTAGTTGAGGCCATTTCGGAAACCGCTGGCGACATATGATCATGTTCGTTTCAATGCTATATTTGAAACCACAAGTAAGAACTAAACAAATAATTATTATTTTACCACTTTATTTAATCAACTTTTAAATTATGGGTATTTTTTATTTTGGTTTTTATATATTAATTAATAATTATAAACACTTTTTACACAATAGTATGTATCGTATATTTAAGTCAATAAAAATCTATAATAATATTCTTTAAATTATATAATAATAATAATTTTAGTGAAATTTAAATACTTTTACAGAATATATATACGATTAGAGAGAACTCTCAGTTAGATTTGTGTTTTATTTGATTGCTTTAACCGTTAAAATCATTCATAATATAAAGCGAAGCCAAC